TTGGTTCCTGCCAGTTCTAAGTTCTAACCTCTTCTATAGAAGAGGTTCCACAAATCTACAATGTCGTTTAGAACCGGTTCCAGCTCCCTCTCCCCACCCGTCCGCACATCATCAAGATGAAGAGTGAGAGGAGGAATTCTGGGAGTTGAAGTCCACAAGTCTTAAAGCTGTCAAGTTTGAACACCCCTGGGTTTTTTTTTCTAAAGGGTTAGGGGTGCAAGGGTCTTGTAACTTGACAGCTTTAAGACTTGAGTACTTCAAATGCCAGAGTTTCTGAGCCAACATTTTGGTTGTTAAGCAAGAGCATTGTTAGGTGAGTTTCACCACATTTTACAAATTGGTCACGCCCACCTAGCCACATGACTGCCAAGCCACTCCCACCCAGTCACATGGCCAGCAAGCCACTCCCACCTGATCACATGGCCGGCAAGCCACTCCCACAAAGCAGGCCACCCCTACAGAAGAGGTTCTAAAAAGTTTTGAAACACACCACTGATCTGGATCTCCCTTATCCCAGTCATGCTCTTTAATCATTATCCCACGTTGGCTCTTTCATCTATTAATATCTATCCAAAAATATTATATCTAATATAAGGCCATTTTAACCTGTGTATTACTCTGCCAAAGATTATATATGAGAGATTTATTTTCCCTCATAAGACAAAAAGGGGGGAAAATATACGGAACTAGAGACCCTAACAAGATGGTCTGTATTGCAAAAAAAAAAGGAAGAAAAATATTAGAAGGAAGAATTTGGAAGGGCCTTCCAAATTCTTAACCTCAACCTTCCCCAGAGAGGATGCCTTCTGAATGTGAGGTTTCCAAGTCTTAGAATTCTCTGTGTGGCCACAGCTGAGAATCTGGGGAATTTAAAATCCATACATCTTAAAGTTGGCGGAAAGCTGTCTGACCTTCAATAAACTTTACAGCTTTGAATTGGCTAATCAGGAATTCTTGTGAAGTTGACAGAACCCTGAGGATTGCATTGATTTCTGAGACATGCCCTATAATGTAATACTGGTTAGAACAGAGATGAGATCCTTGGAATCCAACAGCACTCCACCTAGTAAACTTAAAAGACCCTGAGGGATCCAAGACTCTGAGGGATCTTTTAGACCCTGAGCTCAGAGTTTCCCCAGCACTGTACACTACCCAGTTAAATTGCTAGCAGCTTTTGCCAAGCAGCAAAACAGTTTTGCAAGGGATCTTGCTAACCTTTATTATTATTATCCTCATTGGAATAGCTCCAACTTCCCCGAGATAAACTGTAATTCTATCCTTTGGTGGCTGTAGAATGAATTCTTTGTTTGTTCAGGGGAATGATGTCAGGCCAACATGTTTGGATCCTGTTTTATATCAACAGGGGAAACATTCCAGGCAACCAAATAGAGGCAGGGCAAGAAATCTGCCATTATTTCCCTGCATTTCCAGCCAGAGGAACAGGATACCATCGCTATGTTTTCCTTCTATTCAAACAGGACCAGCCAATTGATTTTACTGAAGATGTGCGGCCAATGCCATGGTAACTCTTCACGTTATCCATATAATGATGAAAGAAAATTTGTATTGGAATGTTACATCTTATCTCAGGAGGTGACAGGTGTAGGAAGGAAAACTGGTCAGTTTAAGATTTTTTTAAATATTAAGAACCAAAGGTGCTTTTTCAAGAGGCAACTGGACTTTCTGTTTTTTTCTTTGAAAACATTTCGCTTCTCATCCAAGAAGCTTCTTCAACTCTGACTGGATGGTGTCAGAGCCATTCAGTCAGAGCTGAAGAAGCTTCTTGGATGAGAA